GATTTCGAGCTGGTCTCCGGGGTCACCGGCACATTTGGGGTATCGGGGGGACCAGACCCAGCGCAGCCGGGGACCCCGGGCCCCACAGGGCAGCAGGATCTGACCCCTGGCCCCCCGCACCTCCAGCCGTGGGGGGGAACCTGGGAGGGGGAGAGTGTTAGCTGTGCCCCTCACTCCCGACCCGTAGCCCCTGGTAGCCCAGCCCTGCCCCGCCCCCAGCTCTGCCAGTGCCCCTCACTCCTGACCCGCAGCCTCACTAGTCCCCCCCTGCCCCCAGCTCTGCCGGTGCCCCTCACTCCCGACCCGCAGCCCCTGCCAGCCCAGCCCCACCCCCCCGAGCTCTGCCAGTGCCCCTCACCCCACAGCGGGCCAGGCGCCAGCAGGGCCAGCAGGACCCAGACGGCCGAGCCCATCGGTTCAAGGCGTCTCCCCGCCAGGGTCCGCGTCTCACTCCAGGGTAGGAACCGATGGGGGGACGGATGGGGGGAGCCGTCATTGTTGGCACCTCCGGGGCTGAGTCACGGGCCAGGGCCCTTATCATGCCAGCCCAGACTTCCCCCGGCCCCAGTCTGCCGGGAGCTGAGCCAGCTGCTGCCAGCTCCCTTCGCCACACAGCGTTCACTCTGAAACCTAACGACGGCCGCTCCACTGCTGTTTGTGCCTGCGAACCCCACCACAGCAGCCACCGCTGGCCTCCCACTGAGCTGCCCTCCAGGGGCTGAAATGCCCCCCACTGCCCCAGCCGCTGCTGCCCTGTTGATGAAGGGCAGGGACTCATGGGGCAGAGAGTTCTGACAGCTGCCTCTGGGAACCCGTCCTCGTGTGTGTGTGTGTGAGAGACGGTGCCTGTGGGACCCAGCCGAGGTCACTCAATTCGGGTGAACTGCAAACAAAACGAGGCAGACAAACCCCAGAAGCTGGTGGTTATTCCAATACTTAGATTTACCAACCAGCCCAAAACAGCTTCTGTAGTACCTCACTGGTTACTCAGACGTCCAAACAACGCAGTTCCCTTAAAGAGCCCGGCCTCAGGCCTCCGTCCAGACACACCTGTCAGATATGATGATGATTACTGAAAATCTGATCTCATCGTAGAAACGAAAAGGTTCTTCCAATCCCAAAGGATCAGCCACATACCCAGGTCCAATGATAACTTAGATCTTACCCAAAATACACACTACAGCCAATTCTTATTAACTAAACTAAAATTTATTAAAAAAGAAAAGCGAGAGAGAGCGTTGGTTAAAAGATCAATATACAGACAGACTTGAATTCAATTCTTGAGGTTCAGACACAGCAGAGATGAGCTTGTAGTGGCCAAAAGTCCTTTTAGAAATAGTCCAGAGGTTATAGTCCAATGTCCATATTCAGGGCGGCTCCAGTCAGTGACTGGGGATCTCAATCCTTGTGGCTCAGGGTTTCCCCTCTTGAAACCCAAAGCAGATCTGAGATGAAGTAGGATCATGTCCCAGGGTTTTTATACATTTCCAGCAGCCGCTTGGCCTGAGAAAACACTAGGCTCAACTTTCCTTCTCCCCAACATCCTGGCAATTAGCACAGGGTCATTTACCCATTAAACAGTTCAGATCCAGGTTACCACACCCTTCAAAGAGACATAGAGACAATAATACTATTTCACTCAAGTATCATCATAAATGTCAATCTTCCTTTTTGATCTTTGAATTAAAGCTCTAGCAACAGACAAGACTTGTTTGCTGACATCCCAAGACCTGAGCAAACACCTGCCCTTGAGATCTCTAGAGCTCTGAAATGCAGCCGGCATCGTTATTCATTTACAGATCTTCCTAACCAGTTTCTACAGTTCACCATGGGTCAGGTCAGTCTGGGAGGTAATTAACTCCTCCTGGCCCTGTCACCTTCCAATGAGATATTAAACTGATAAGGACAGATAATAGATAATGTTTTCACGTACCAGCTCATAGAGAGCCAAGAAGCGTATGACACTCATAATGTCACAGTGTAGCAGGGAGTTCCCCAGGTCAACAAGGCCCCCGCCTAGCTCAGGAGACCAACGCAGAGCTCGTTTTAATTGGAGAGGAGACGTCGGCGGGGTTCTAATTACGGGCTGCAGCTAGTGGCAGTGAGTTCCCCAGGTTAAGGACTGGTCACAGGAGAGCCTCCCCCGTCCTGGTTTGATCAGAGCCTGGTGCTGAGGGGCCTACAGGTTAATTAACACTTGGCGCGTAGGAGAGAGTCCCGCAGGCTAACGAGGGGCCAAGGGGCATAAGTGGGTGACCCCTGGCGAAGGGGGCTCAGAACCCATAGGGGAGAAGAGGCCCCATGGGACACGTTGCAGCCAGCCGCCCTGGCAGACAATCTGGCCCCACATCCAGTAGCTGGGAGTTCCCCAGGCCCCCGCAGGGCTGCTTTGAAGCGGCTGCCAGCATGAACGTTAGGCACCCACCTCGCCCCGTCTCCGCCCACACCGGGGCGCCAGAGCCGCCACCCCGGCAGGCCTGGGAACGAGGGCTGCCCCCTGCTGGAGAAAAGTGGAGCCACTGTGTGTCAGGGCCCCCTGGCGGCCGGGCTGTGGATCCAGGCATGGGGGGCTGCCCCCCAGAGCTGGCTGCATCGCCGCAGACAGACAGACTCGAAGTACAAAAAATACCTTCTTTACTGTTAATTTCTCCAGCTCGGGGGGCCCCCCAGGTTTGGGGCTGGGGGCA